TTGAAGTTCGTCTCTCATGTTAAAAATAGTCATTGGTAATCAGGCTCGCCGGCCGGTCAAAATACCTTCGCGGGCCGGATCCCGCACGCGGGCCGTAGGTTGCCGACCCTTGGTCTAAGCACAAATTACAGATAAATAACCTTATCAGTTCTCATCCGTCCATATACACATATACACGCATATATGTATACATATGTACACATACATCCATGTATTTCTATCAAAGCACATTATTCTCACAAACACATCAATATGTATCAAGAAACCGAAAAGATACCCATACATAAAGACACACACACACACACACACATACACACACACAGGCGGTGTTTGTGTCTGCATTTTGAAATGAGTTCACTTCGAAGGTCAAGTAAATTCTCCTGGTTTTTATATTTAATTATAGGTATTTTCTCCAGCAGACAAAGGTTTAAATAGTCCTGAAGTTCTTACGAGTTCGAACACTGGATATGAATTTCCACTTTATTTGCGGTGTGATCCCAATAATGTCTGAATAATGTTGTTTGGTTTTTGAGAGACCTATTGTTGGAGGAATGTCTGTGATTATATTAGAGTTGCTTCCAGTTTCCAGCAGATATTCCAATGCAGGTCTTCTTCATGCCTATATTTTAAGTGTTTGATATTCTTTAATTAATAATATCTGTATGTGTGTGTGTTTGCATAATATTTGCAATTTTTGCTGTTATCATTTCATGTTTTTTTACCAGAGCTCATATTGCAATTTTCGTTGTTATTATTGCTTTTCTGTGGTACTCTTTATTACTGTTTCCCATATTGTATTCATTTCTATGCTTATATAGACATAGAAAATCATTGGAAAATTCGTAAACTTAAGGAATCAGCACATATGCGAGACCACAAAAATATCGTGAGCCGACCAAGCAGTGAAATGAATACAATATGGGAACGAGTAATAAGGAGTGCCAGATAAAAGCAATAATAACAACGAAAATTGCAATATGAGCTCTGGTAAAAAAAAATATATACAACATGCATTGCTAACAGTAAAAATTGCAATATGAGCACTGGTTAAAAATGGATGCTGAAGACAGGTTTATAATACCCCAAAATTCATACACTGTGCCATGTGTCCTCAAGGATAAAGGCGTTAACTAGATCCAGTGACAGGACCTAAAGAGTGTTAGTTCAATACCTGGTTAAGGCGGTGGAGAATTTGGAAAGGGGGATTAACAGGAGATAAGTGATAACTGACATCTATTAAACATTAAGCATGGCACGTGGAACTAGAACAGTCTACCCCAAAATAAAGGGTTCAGTTCGACATTCCAACCACCTGAAGAAAGTCGGAGCGTACAACCGCCGAAACATTGTGATAAATATGGTAACAAAGATGAGGATGATAGTCCAAGCAATGTAAAATTTTTACATGATACCTCATCTCAGAAATATAGACAGGTTCCATAATTTGGTTTTGATAGATGGCCGAATAATAAAAAGAAAACATTTTTTGTTTTTCTTTATGGTTTTCCAGTTGACGTAAGAGCTAAAAAATGTAGTGTCTACCATATTTACATAGCTACATAGTTTTGCCATCTCTGCTATTAAAATATTGGCACAATCGACTTTTAATATCTGTTTATATTTCTGAGATGTGGTATTTATTAGGTAATTGACATAATTTACATATTTCGGACTGTTGTCCTCATCTTTCATGCCATATTCATGACCCATGACCCAGTGGGTAAAAGCGTTAGTTGAATCCAGTGACTTGTCCCCAAAAAACTGTGAGTTCAATGCCTGGCTATAACAGAGGTAAACAAAGACTGTGAGAGTTAGGTTAAAAGGGAGATAACTGACACTGAGATATCCAAAGAGGCATGGCACGTGAAACTAGAAAAATCTACCCCGCTGGACGAAATAAAAGGGTCCAATTAGAGAGATCATTCACCTGAAGAAGGCCGTAGTGTACAAAAGACAAAACATCCTAAATAATGCATGAAAGATGAAAACAACTGGCCGCACGAACAATATAAACCTTTTATTTGAAAGTTTCTTAAACTGATTATAAGTTTTATACTTATCTAAATATATTTATTTATTAGGCGTTCTAAAAGCATGCATATACTCTTGTATATATTGAGGTCTTAGAATAATTATTTTTCGACCAATGATTTACATCTCAACATATACATATGTAAGAAATTCAGACTGATACTAATGAACATTTAAAGTTTTCCGCATTAGTTCTTACATTTAGACCTGGCAAATATCAAGCAGTTACTAACCAAAAACGAATGGAAATACAGAATATATGAATGTGCTGTGAAAAGCTGCTTAGTGCCTTTAGCTTTATCCTACCATTCTTAATTTAGGTTCCTATTCACCTGAAACTACGACATTATTATTGTTCCATCCGATGATTTATTCTGTAAGCTTTATAATGCCTATTATCTTATAACATACAGTACGGACTGAAACGTTTAACTATGAAGGAATGATGCTACAGCTGTGAAAACTTTCATGCATTAATTTCAACTTTTCAAACTGCATTGTTTCTTTCCATGTCAACGGATATGTGATTCTTCAAAGACAAATTCGAAAGTAACTAGTAGAAATTTCTCTTGAAAATTGACATCATTATCAATTAAATGCATAAAAATGGTTTTATTTCCAAGGGCATTAATTCTGCAGGTTTGCTACACTTTGACATGGTTTCTGCATTGATCAACAGTGCAAATGTGGGTTGCTGAATTTAGGAGAGGAAGGGAGGGTATTATAAACAGAGCATTTACTTAAATACTTGTATCTATAAAAAGAATGTTAAAAATAAAAAATGTCTTTAATATATATATATATATTAATTTAATCCCGCTTTACTTCGCGTATTGAGCAATGTACGTTTAGCTTGACTACTCGCTTGGTTTTTTTTCTTTTGAATATAGACTTAAGGCACTGAACGATTGGTTTCGCCCTGTTCTAATGTTTTTAGTTCTTTTTTTTCCAATTTTTTTCTCGGATACCGGTTTGTTTTGGCATATTTACAAGTTGTGCTATACGAATTATTTTCGAAACGAATATTACTATATATATATATATATATATATATATATATATATATATATATATATATATATATATATATTCATGTGAGTTCGTATGCATGTTTGCACAATATATATTTATCTATGCGCATAAACTTGTATATGAAAATATTTTTTAAGAAGATGACTGAATATAGTGGTTCTGTAAGCTTTGTGAGCAACTCCATCTAACATATATCTTGTGCAAGAAAGTTAGAAATAAAAATACGCTTAAAAAAGAAATGTAAATTTAGGGGTGTAATTGTGTACCTGTACATACCAAAGAAATTTTGTCTGAATTTATATTTCTTTTTTTAGGCGTATTACGTGAACTATCTCCGTGGCGTCCAACTGGAGTGAAGCTTCCAGCATATATGCCTGGGCAGATATTTGTTAGGTTCGTTGTCACTGAGATTTCACTGAGTAAGATTGTATGAAATGCAATCACAAAGATGTAGCGCGTACTTATGTTATTTATTTTTTCAAAATATTGCATGAACTTAGATCTGCCTGCATCCCTTTCAACTCGACAAAAGATTTAACTTCCGATGCTTTCTGGTATGTTTAAAGCTAAAGTTATTGATGAAAGGTGCTGGAAATGATCCTGAAGAGACAGCTGATGGTAATCCATGGAAAGGATTTGTAGATCGTTTTGAAAAGATGAAGTATGTACCGAATTATTTTGTGAGGGCTGTTCTTCGAAGAGGAATAATAGAAACTTTTACTTTTATAGCTATTTTCCGTTAATGTTTTGTCTGAATTCTATGCGGAAGTATTTCTTGTATTTATCCAATTGATTCATTGCGGTCAAGGATAATCTCCAAGTTCACTTCCCAATTCTTGTTTGAATTTCCCATGTCTTTTACTTACCTCTTTCTTTTTGTGCATGTGAACCTGTAAGGTCACATTTGTACATAAATCTTTATTTGAATGGCTGTTATTTTGACAGAAGATTACATTTTGTTTATTTGTGTGCATCCCCACAAATCTATCACGTGTATAAAATCTTTTTTAGTGTTTAGTTAAAGAATAGGAAAGTGTTTTCTGCGAATTCAGCTTTTCATTTTCTAAAAAAAGAACTGTTGCATATATCTTATAAATTCATGGTATTTTGTCATCATTGAGTAGATGATTTGCGTGAAGGCACAGACCCCACCCACCCCACGCACTTTCGTGTACAAGCAAAAACGGTGCAAGCAGAAAGATATATTCATTTTTCTTCAAAAGTAGATTCATAAAAGTTTTATTTTTTCTTGGGAGATTTGTCAACAAATAAAACTAAAACGAAAATTCTCAGATAAATACATTTCAAGCATTCAGAAGATTTACGGTTTTTTAAAAATCTCGGATATTTTGCGCTGGTTTCTGTTACTGTCGTGGTCTTCTAATTTTACCAATGCTCACACACCAAATTTATCTTTTAGTTTCTTTTTTTTATTTTCTGCTTTTCTTTATTTTCACTAATGTTTTCTGCGCTTCATTTCTCTGTCTTTGATTATTTTGTGGGTAGAGGAGAGGCAAGCATATACATTTACTAATTCGCAACCAAGTAAAAAGCAAAATCAAATAAAAGTTTTTCAAAAAATCTAAAAATAATAAACAAACAAAAATGTCGCCCATTTTTAATTAAAATCAACTATTTTCATTTTTTCTCCATTTTCTTCTTTTCATAATTTATTTGTAAATTTTGTTATTTTATAATTTTTTGTAAACTTTTCGTTTATTTTATGGCCTTATTTTTGTAATTTTGTATCTTTTGTTTTCTCCTTTTTTATTATCTTATGTTTGTCTTATTTTCTTTTTTGCTCATGATTCTCAGTTTCTTTTTCTTGTTTACATTTTCGTTTATTTCAAGGTTTTCTTTTACCTTAATTTTTCTTGTTTCATTTCATTTCTTGTCTCTTATATTTTGATCTTTTTTTATATTCTATAAACTTCTAGCGGTTTCTTCTTTGCGTTCACTTCAATTTCACTGTTTTCTTTCTATTTTCCCCGTTTTCATTAATCATAATACATCTTTCTTTCTTTTCTACTTTTTTCTCTCATTTTTTCTATCTCTGGGAATATCTTCTTTTTGTCGCACGCGCTTTCGTTAATATTCACTTTCTTTTTCAAGGAATATTCGTAGGATTCACTCTACCAATCGTCCATCTTTTGTAAATTGCACGGATTCTTATTTTTCTTATTTATGAATTTTCTTATATCTCAACGCGTTTTCATTTATCTAAACCTATTTATGTGTGTCTTCCGATAACCACAGAGATTCATTTTTGGACGATTTTTCATGGTGTTATGCTAGAGCAAACCAAAAAATATTTTTCTTTTGGCTAACTCAGTCATTTTTTATCCCAGCACGCATTTTACTTCTTAAGAAGTTCCGGATTTCTCTCTCCCTCTCTCTCTCTCATGCATATTTAATCCCACATCACACTTAATCAGCTTACATCACCGCTGGAAACAAAGTTACAAAAATAAAACGTTTACTTTTATATTAATATTATTTTATATTTTCATCTCTAATCCTCCTCCTTTTATTTATTTTTTGTTATTCTTTTCAGCTTATATTTATATTGAAACGTTCTAATCATTTTTGAAAACACTATCAAATTATTATTATTAATCTTTTTTCGTCACCTTTTCTGCTGCTGCTACTATTCCTATAGATAATCTTTAAACACCTTAATTCTTTTGATTAATATTGTATTTACATTTTTTCATTATCCATCTTTATGTTTGATAAATCCCTTTTGACTCTTCCTCATCATCAAATTTCGTTCTCCTCCTTTAAATTCTATTTTTTGATTTCATCCTTGTTCTACATTTTAAAACCTTTGACATTTTTTTCTCTTGCACAATCATTAATTTCTTCTTTGTTTTCAGGATTTATTTTATTTTTCTTTAAACTTTGTAGTTTCTTTCATCTTTTTTTCTTTTTCGATTTTCTTTATGTTCTTCATATTCTTCGTGTTTTTTATCCTTTGTTTTTTTTCTTGCCCTTTCTTCACATTACATTTTGCTCTTCTTCTAAATCAACATTTAACCTTTCTCAGCCTTGCTTATCTTTCATTATTCTCACATATATTCTGTTTTGTTTTTTCTCCGAATTTTCTCTAACACATGAGTATACAACACACTTTTTTCAAATTCTATCCCCTGAGGTTACAACCATCATAGCTTCATATTTTCTTTTCCATAGCTATACTGACATTTCAGAGAATACTAAGAATTTTGTAATTTGATGGCCGAAAGAGAGCTCAATAATGAATAATAGTGAACTTTTTTTTATAGATAATATATTAATGCGTAACCTAACAGAACATTATTAAAGTAACAAAACCAAATTAGACAAATATTAATGTTTGTTTTGTCATTTCTGTAAGTATTATTCCTGTTGTACAATCTCTCCACCATAAAAATAACGGTTACATCAGTATGTTTGTAGTGATTGATTGTTACTATTTATTAACAATACTCTTGAAACAGTTTCTCATTGGCGGGAATAGTTGCATATTTTTCTACCCGTGTTTGATTTTGAGCTAAAGACAACGTTTTGTAAGTTGTATTTTGTAAAAAAGTTGCGCTCTGTCAAACTTCTGTTATATATCCAGGATCAAAATGAAACTTTACCACAGAAAGTTACCGTGATGTTTTCTAAAGAGCATTTAGACAGTGAAAGGAAAGTATTCAATCTGGTCAGATGATTATAGTTCACACAATTATTATGTACGTTGCGTTTCACCGGGAATATATATATGAAAAACGGCCATCTGGATACAGTGATCATTACAAGAATCAAATAGTCTAAGATACAGGATGATAAAATATATCCACTATTCGATAAAAAATGTTAATCACTTGTACGCTCTCATAATTCTGTCTGGATTCTACAGTCGAATAAAGATAGAATTCGAACAACAATAAAATAAACCAATTTAGGATATACACACTGTGTTCTAATAACTAACTAATGATCTTTAACCTTTTTAAAAACCTTATTACATGCTTAATATGCTTGAACCTAGCATGGCCATCAAATCCTTTGACACTATTAGGATGATGATTGTATTTCTGGTTCGTTACTTCCTTTATCTGATCATATAATAGACTAAGATGACGGTTAATAATTATCAAAAAGTTAAAAGATTGAAATGTTTCCATGATATACAATTTTGATTACTTATCCAAGGAAGATACGTTCCAAGATCCAAGATAGTACCAAGCACCTATATCATTTTGGTGTTTGCATTTCTACTATCAAAAATGAAAAACAATACAATGGGTGCATGTGCACCTTAAGTTGAAATATCATTTGTATAAACTTAATGTCATATGCATATCGATCATCAGATGACAATCAACCAAAATACAAGTATCAATTTAAGACGAGTAGATATTATGAAATATTATACAGGACAAACACTGCAAGTAATTCTGAAATCCATCACTGTATAAAATGAATAAGCCTAATTAAATCTGACCATCTGGAAGTGTATCTTACAGTGTGCATAAAATATTTAATATTCGTACAAATATATAATAATAATACCTATAAATCTGTGACACTTTCTTTCTCAGTGTAGTTCATCACAAACGTAAATAGCAGAAGTTAAATAAGAAAAACATAGATTGGAGTAACAGAATAAACATGGAAGCAGAAATTATGCACATAAAACAACTTTTAACAACAGTAAAAGTACTCGAATATCTCAACCGTCTCTAGATATGTTTGCGACTTAAAAAAAGAACACCTGAGATCTAACATGAGTAATTTGAAAAACAACAGCAGCCTTCAACACACTCTAAAAGTAGTAAACTTTGCTTAGAGAAGAAAGAAACGATACAAACGCGTTCCCTAACGAACACAAGTTACTCAATAAAAATCAAAACGTATCTCAAAATACGGACATGAAAACAAATTTTTATTCGTCTCTAAAACGTAAAAAGAAATAACGTGTAGCAAACGCAAATAGAAAATATATGACTTAATATATATATATATATATATATATATATATATATATATATATATATATATATATTGCCTGAGGATATCGAAAGTTTGAAACTAAGCTAGCGGGATTGGCTAATTGTTAAATTGTTATTTTATTTATACGTGTGTTGAGCACTTTTTAATACAACTGTTTCCCGGCCTAATTCAACTCTGACCAATAACCGTTTTATAAATATATATCTATATCTATCTATCTATCTATCTCTCTCTCTCTATATATATATATATATATATATGGAGAGAGAGAAATAGAGAATGAATATCGTTATCAAAATTAGCACATGTAACATTGTTATCCAAATCTTTGTATTTTTCGTGGTGCCCAGGGTTTCGTAGTCAACATGTAATTTTTATATAGACATACACCCATTCATGTAGACATGCATATAAACATGCATAATGTGTCACACCTGCTGTAATTAATTTTAGTTCTGTCTTCCGATAATGTCAATAAAGAAGGAAAATCATTATGAAGCTCATAAATTTTATTCATAATTTTTATATAATAAAATATATAAATGACATTATGTAATTGTTCAATTATCTAAGCAAGCAGCAATGATTTACAACTTTAAATCTCAGTATGATTCTGAAAATTTATTAAGAACTGGTCAGAGTTTGAAAGTGACTTACAGGTTAAGATCTGTAGGAGGCACCATGACAGTTTGCCACTGCTTATCAATATCTGCGAGTCTGCTATTGCAGAATGGATAATAAGTCGTAAACAGTGAATGGTACATATTCCGTATACAAGTCACGAACAGAAAGAAAGAAGGCGGAATTTTGGTTCTGGCTTGCTGAGGAAGAAAATAAGAGAAAAAAGGAGTCAACTGCATCTTCCATTTGAAGAAGATGAAGGCAGAGTGTGTTGTTAATACATTCTTACCAGAAACATTAATCCACAATTAAATTAATTCGAAAGTCGACGAGATTAAAAGGTCATTCAAATCAAAAACAAAATGTCAGGAAAGAAAATAAACTTTTAAAAGTGAAATCTTTCGATTTTGTCACCAGTAAATGAGAATTACATTTAAAACTGATATATTTACCAAGAGTCGGTTATTTCATTATGGTATAACTTCAAACCTCTGCAGCCAATATACACACACAAAAACAAGCGGCGGTATATATATATATATATATATATATATATATATATATATATATATATAATTGGGGAAATAATATATATATATATATATATATATATATATATATATATATATATATACATATGCATATACCATATATATATATTATATATATGAGTGTATATCACACACTCATGATAAGAGTAACTAAACGTTTTCACAACAGTATACACGATCAAGAAGACTAGCAATTGTAAGATTAGACGAGTTTGCTGGAATTGTCCTCTTTATAAAAAATACAATAGTGTCAATTTCAAAATGGCATCCCATCATATTTAGCTTCTGTTGAGGGATAAGTCTAATATATGGAATATGAAGTTAGCTGAGGTGAATTTTGTTTCTCTGTCCGCCTCTTTCTCTGTGTGTGTGTGTGTGTCTCTCCTCTCTCTCTCTCTCACACACACACACACCCCCCCATATATATATATATATATATATATATATATATATATATATATATATATATATATATATATATATTTTTCCAATTAATATATTGAAAACAACTTCAACGCAAGATGTCGGACAAAGTTGATTGAGATATGTGCTATGCGTTTACTATTAGATATCAAGGAAGAGTTGGTGTTATCTTTCACTTTCAAGTGGACATAACGCTTTTTCTGTTGTTCATTTCTTTCCTTTTCAAAACAAAACATTTTCTTTCTGTTTCTTATATCATATCTTCTGATAGCTTCTTTTCGTTTCATCTTTACTATCATCTCGATAACGATAACGAGTGCATAGAATATAGTTTACTTTTGTTTCTCTTTTTTATTAGTCGATTACATGTGAATATTTTTCACAATGTCATTTCTCTGTCTTTTTCGCATTGAATTCGTTTAAGGTGTTCTTTATTTATTAATTTGAAGACACACTTTCTCTTGATCTTTTTCTATGTGCTGTCTTATGTTCTTCCTTTAGGAGAAATATTTTCTTAATTTTTTCTGGTATCATTTCATAATATTTCTTTCCTTGGTGTATATTTCATTACTCAGAGTTCTTATATCTATCGTCTTCGTCGCCATGGACTTGTCCTCTTGAAATTAATGTGCTCCAAGAAAATATTTTTTCTTGATTCTTTTACACTATGTTCAGCCTTCTTCAAAGAAAACTTGTTTCTTCTTATTCTATCCAACTAAGATAGGAGAAGACATTACACCCAAAATTACAGAGGCTCACGAGGATTCAGAAGGACTATAATTGAGTCAGTCTCCTTACTGGGAACAGCTCTTTGTCAAAAACCGTCATCCCTATTGATTGAGAGACTCATCATATCTTATGTACCGGGAGTCCATAGAGTTCGTGTGCACTTTAAAAATTTATAACTTTATTTGTATTTGCGATAGAAATAATTTGTAAAAAGGATTAGAAAGAAGTAAATCTATATTTGTAAGGTTTTATTGAAATTTTATTTAAGTTTCCACAAGTCTTCCATCATTAGCAATACAAAGGGTAATACGATTTTGCAGTTCACGGAAAAAATTTGCGAACTGATTTACAGTAATGCCAGAAATCATATTAGTTATTTTAGCTAATCTTAAAACTAGGTACATTAAACTTTATAACATTTTTACAGATTATTTCTATCGCAAATACAAATAAAGTTATAAATTTTTAAAGTGCACACAAACTCTATGGACATCCTGTATATCTTATTTTATTGAAGAATTAAACAAATATAATAAATCTTGCACTTGGAATCTTGACGGTTTCACCTTTCAAAAATTCTCTTACTTAAAACTTCATAATTTTTTAGAAATTTCTGGATAGCTGACTCAGTTATTTACAAACAAATGACTTTTAGAGCTTGTCTATATTTCTAAGATGAGGTATTATGTACACTATTTACATTATTCGGACTATTGTCCTCATCTTTGTCGCCATATTTATCACAACGTTTCGTTCAGGTTCTACTGGACCATGTGAACTCAATAAGACCTTCGATACAGTTCACAATGTTGAAAGAGAGTAACAACACACTGCCATTCCTGGATGTTCTAATATCTCGAACAGAGCATGGGTTCAAGACATCCGTATACCGTAAACCGACATTCACCGGACAGTACCTCAATTTCAACTCCCACCATCCATACAGCGTAAAGAAAGGGATCGTCCGTTGCTTACAACACCGAGCAAAAATCATAAGTGGCGACCCAGAGACGTTAGATAAAGAATTGATCCGTATAAGTAGTACCCTAAAACGTAACAACTACCCTGGGTACATGGCAGCAGCCCCCCAAAACTGGGATAGGCGGGTACAAGAGGAGGAGGAGAACAACACTCAGAAAACAGCCTGCCTTATGTGAAGGGGTTATCAGAGAAAATACAAAGGATCTGCGGTCCATATAATATCAGGACAACCTTCAAAAGCGTGACGACACTTCGCAGATATTTCTCCCGAGTAAGACCCCCCATAGAGGAGAACATGACTAAAGACTGTGTGTACGCTAACCCATGCAGCTGCGGAAAGGAATATAAAGGAGAGACATGCCGCACTCTTAAGGTAAGGCTTCAAGAACACCAGAGAGCTGTAACACGAAGGGAAGTAGAAAAATCAGGCGTGGCTGACCACATATGGAGAGAGAAGTGAGATCACCGCTCTCTGTGGGATCATGTTGAGATCATAGACAAGGAACACCATTGGAAAATTCGTAAACTTAAAGAATCAGCACATATGCTAGGTCACAAAAATCTCCTGAGCCGACCAAGCATAGAAATAAATACAATATGGCAACCAGTAATAAGGAGTGCCAGAGAAAAGCAATGATAACAACAAAGTTGCAATATGAGCACTGGTAAAAATGGTTGCTGAAGACATTAGTTTTATAATACCCAGAAATTCATACCCAGACTCAAGGACACATGGCACAGTGGATAAAGGCGTTGGTTAGATCCAGTGACAGGACCCAAAGAGTGTGAGTTCAATACCCGGTTAAGGCATTGGAGAACTTTCAGAGGGAAATTAGCAGGAGATAACTGATAACTGACATCGATCAAACATGGCACGTGCAACTAGAACAGTCTACCCCGGTGAGCGAAATAAAGGGTTCAGTTCGAAATTCCAACCACCTGAAGAAGGCCGGAGCGTACAACGACCGAAACGTTGTGATAAATATGGCCACAAAGATGAGGACACTAGTCCGAATAATGTAAATAATGTAAATGACTTTTATCTACAGTTTCCGTTAATATTTCT